CCAGTCTTTTATTTTGGTCCCCATGGCTTACCATCCTGTTATCTGCCATATCTGAACCTATTCTTTTACTATCCCTTGGCATTCCATTTTAAGTTGATTACTAACAATCAGGCTACAATCGGGATGTAAGATGAATAAATTAAAAAAAATAAATTTAAATCAGAAAAAGGAAAAAAAAGTAGTTTATGCCTACTAACATGGATTTTTTAATATTAAAAAAAATCAGTTCTGTTACAATGTTATCACTACAGTCTCAGTACCAAGCTGTACTTTGTGAATCGATAATTTGACTAAAATAATCTAGAGCCATTGGGGATATGATGAGTAAAGAAACCCATTTTGTGCTAGGTATCCATCTGGGTACTGAATAGCAGTTTGTCTCTGATTCAAGTTTTGGAAGATAAGTTCTTAGCAACTCTAAGAACCCTTGATCCCCACTCAGAAATGTGCATCCATGACTGTAATGACATGACTAACTGCTGATTTGATTTCTGTAACTTGCTTATGCAGTCATTCAAAGTCTATTTTAAGGTCACCTTGACCATTCAGTCTTGGCAAAGCAGAACAGCTCTTGTGGACTTTTGTCTTTAAAAGTTCTTCCTTCACCTACCTCTGGGTGCATTAGGATTAGAGACTGTGTCCTTGCCTAGCAGCTTTAATAAACTTAAATTTAATAAACTTTAATTATAATCTGAGTTGAATCTGGGAGTCTTCTTGTGTATGTGTGCACATGCTCGTGTGTGCGTGTTTGTGTGCGTGTGCATGTGTGTGGTCATGAACTCTGTAACACTCTCCAGCATCAATCATTCCAGTAAGGCAAAGGTTTCACTTCATTGCTTCTGGTGTCTTGTTAATCACAGCAGATTCTTTAGCCCCAGCTAAGAGCCACAGATTCTTAACTCAAACTATGCAACAGCCCCCATAGAATCCTTGGGTGACTCTCAAACTTCTCCCCGAACATCACCTGCATCTTCTGCGTTTCTTTTGAGATTCTTGTCTTCCAGGCTCCTGTAGAGCAGCATACCAAATTGTGAACACTCAATGGCTTTTCTAGCCCAAATCTTCAAAGTCCTTCCACAATCCTCCCCAAAGCAACACAGTCAGGTCTGTCTGATCAGTACCCCACAGTCCTGTGCTCCGGCCAGCGGAGCTAAGGTTATTCGAGGGTTAAAAGAGAATCCAAACCTGTGAAAAGATGGGCGAGAAAGAGAAAGGAGTCCAAGCAAACAGGTGCTTGTCAAGGACTAACTTTACTGAGCAGAATCAGCTTTAAATAGGGTTCAGGATAAGGAAGTAGGGTGGGTGAAAAATTACAGATTCTTCTCGGCCAGGGGCCTGAAACATCTTGTGATAAGCCATGGTTCTGTGAGCACATCTCTGCTGTTGCCAAGCAGTATGTTTACCGCAGGTAAGGAAACGGGCAAGTTGAGGCAGGTTGGTGAGTTTCTACAGGTGGTCTCTGACATCTCCAAGCAGTATGTTTACTGCAGGTAAGGGAACAGGCAAATTGAGGCAAGTTGGTAAGCTTCCACAGGTGGTCTCTGAAGTTGGCGAGTTCCCTCAGGTGGTCCCTGACAGTCCTGGTACCAGTTTCTGTCCTAGTTAGGATTACTATTTCTATGATGAAACGTCATGATCAGAAGCAAGTTTGGGAGCATATTGGTATTCTCTAGAGTAACAATTTACATCATGATTCTATATATATAGAAAGGGGATTTATTTAAGAAGACTTACAGACTGCAGTGCAGCTAATCTCAAGATTGCTAGCAGCGAATGGAAAATCCAGGAATCCAGTAGCTGCTCAGTCTACAAGGCTGAGTGTATGCTGGAATCCCAAAGCTATACCTCTAATGCCAAGTGGCCTTGCCAGCAAGGTGGCCAAGCAGGCCAACAGCAAAAGCTTCATCTTTCATGTCTTTATATGGCAGTGGTTCTCAACCTTCCTAATACTGCAGTCCGTTAATACAGTTCCACATTCTGTGGTGACCCAACCATAAAATTATTTTTGTTGCTAGTTCATAACTAATTTTGATGTTATGACTCGTACTGTAAATATGTGATATGCAGATGGTCTTAAGCAGCCCCTGTGAGAGGGTTGTTCAACCCTCAAGGAGTTGCAACCCACAGGTTGAAAACTACTGCTATATAGGCTTCTAGTAGGAGGTGCAGTCCAGATTAAAGGTGTATCAAGATTGGGATCAAAGGTAGGTTTAAACTTTCTTCCTCAAAAGTCTGGAGTAGAAGTGGATCCACTCTCTTCACACCAAGCAAAAAATGTCTCACAGGTGTGCCCTCCATTTCTGGATTCCAGTTAATTCTAGAGGTATCAAGTACCAAGAATAGCAATCACAAGGACAAAGGGGTTTACTTGCTTTACGTATCCTGGTGTAATGTCAACTGGAGGAAGCCAAGGCGGTTCCGGTGATTGTGCAAAGGTTGTCTTTGTATATTCAGTTGTTAATTCTGTACCACCAGATAGCTGAGAATTGTCCAGACTTTGGTTTTGTTATTCTAACTGTTTAGTAAATACTTCCTCTCTCACCTTTTGACTGGTTAATAAAGAGCTGAACAGCCAAAAGCTGAGACAGGAGAGGGTAGACAGGACTTCTGACAGAGAAAGGAACCCTGGGAAAGGTTTTGAGGCACAAGAAATTCGCCAGCCAGCTATGGAGGAAAAAACAGATGCCGGTACTAAGAGACTGAGGAGAGGTAATAAGCCACGTGGCAGAATGTAGATTAGTATAAACGGGTTAAGTTAAAACCTTAACTTTGGAAACAAGTCGAAGGTAAGGCCAGGCTCTCATAATTAATAAAAGTCTCCATGTTATTATTAAGGATCTGGCTCTGCAAAGAAAGTCCCTTTACAGAAGGCGGTAATTAAAAAGGGTGGGAACCCGGAAGCAGGAGCTGATGCAGAGGCCATGGAGGGGTGCTGCTTACTTGGAGCAGCTTTCTTAAGAGAACCCAGTAACACCATCCCAGGGGTGTCACCACCCACAATGTCGTGGGCCATTCCACATCAATTAGTCATTGAGAAAATAACTAAGTCCTACAGGCTTGCCTACATGCCGATCTTATGGAGGCATTTTCTCACTTGAGGCAAACCTCTCCGCAGACTTTAGCTTGTGTCAAGCTGACATGAAACCCAGCACAGTGAGTTTTTTTCTACAGATAAAACAATCTGGCCCTTCCGCTGGCTCAGCCGAGAAATAATTTCATTGTGGATCAGTGTCGATGGCATAAAAATGAACTCTCTCCTCTTCTGGGGTTTGTAGTTGGGTCTCAGACATTACCAGTACAGGAATAAGCACACCTGAGATGGGGAGTCCTGTTACTCCATGGTGTTAATCTAGCCTCTTTATTGCAACGAGCTCATTTTATATTAACAGAAACATTTTGATGCCTTTGTATCAAAGGAAGAATAATTTCTGTGTTCTGAGATGGGGCAGTGAAGCTTAAGTAAAAACATACCCTTTAAAACTGCCACACAGGAGGAATGCCAGGAGTAGAAAAAGGTAGAGAAGTTGAATAGGGCAGGTCCGACCTAATATGGAGTCAAATCCTATGATGGATGGTGTGTTGGGAGTCAGTGCACACACCATGCTATACTGATCCCAAGGCCAGTTTTCCTCCCTTTGGGAGAGGAGCAGGGAACTCAGAGAACACCTGGTGGCGGATCCTTGCCTCAGTTTGTTAGCAACCAGAGAGAAGTGGGTGAGGCCCTGTAACAGCCCTCACAAAATTAAATTGTTTATGCAGATTAATGGATGAAAGTGTGGACAAGGGACTGTAGACACATGAGTATCAAAGGAATTCTAGGGCTTATCTACAGGTAATAAGAGACATCTGTATCTCTTGCCCATGCCCCAAACGGTGGATTCCTTTATCCACACTTAAACTGCTCGATTTTTCCCTCATTGATTATTTGGAATAATGGTAATTAAACCGAGCAAGGCCTACTCCACTTCATGCAGGTGCTTGGCCAGGGAGTAGCCCCAATCTCTTCTGGTACTTTGTACTTTGGGACTGTTAGTACTTTGGAACAAAACCTACTTCTGGGTTACCTAGCAACTTATGATGCCATCATGTGTGGCCACCTGGGAACCGTGATTACCTTGCTCCTTAAAGGAGCAACACGTGGTCACTCTCTCACTCACTCTCTTACTCTTTCTCTCTCTCTCTTTCTCTCTCTCTCTCTCTCTCTGCGCCCCCTCCCCCTTTCTCTCTCTCTCCCCTTCTCTTAATATCCACCTAGTAAACCTCCTGCATATAAGATCGGTTGACAGCCTCATCTTTTTATAATCTAACAGGGACATGGATTTATTCTTCTGTCTCAAACCCCGGAGTAGCTGAGATTTCAGAACATTTCCAGGAAATGTCATTTCAAAAACAATCCTAAAGAGTTTGTGGTGTGTCCCAATATAGCTTCTTACTCCATTATTTTAAAGTAAAATTGAGTTAGTGTGAATTTTTCCTCCTGCCATTAAGATTCGAGGTATACCTGAGCTTCCCCCCAAAAAAAAATCAGCAAAACTTTATTCGTTTCCATTCTTTCGCCATTAACATAAAAAGAGATAGCAAAAATGTTTTGTGTTTACAAAGATAAACAGCCTCTTTACCCAGAGTTCAAAACCTCAAATGACAATGGGGAAGATGAAAGCGCCTCCTCCCCAACCCCTGAGCTGACCCTTGTCATCTTTAGACAAAAAGCCTTCACTCCACTTGCCAGGGACCCTATTTGGGGCCAATTCAAGCCCAAGGCCTAGAAATCAGGTCATTCCGCTCCGTGATACAAAGCTGACATCAAGGATCAAGTGTCTGTATTCAACAGAGCTATTAAAAACAAAAACAAAAACAAAACCTGAGCTTTTTAAGTCGCAGCATATTGATCATAGTAAGAAGTAAGCCTAATACACACTGGTGTTTAAGGCTGGATTTGTGGGAAATGTAGTCTCTTTTTCGTCATGACGTCACTAGACAGGACTCCGGTATATGCTTCCGGGTCCATTTAGCGTTTGTGTTTTTCCAAACTGCGGCTTTCTGTAAATTGCCACGGTGTGGCTTGTGTTCCGCGCTCGACATGGAGGTGGGTCAGGGTGCAGCCCAGCCTGGCAGGGCTCAGGGAGTGTGCGGGGTGGACCGGCCGTCCTGGAGAGAGCGGAGGAGGGGCGGGCGGGAGGCGGGGAGAAGCTGACCAGGGCGTGCAGTGCTTGAACTAGGCTTAGCCTAAGTGCTGCGACTCCCTTTAGGGCTGGGGAGAAGGCGTGCTGATGGCGGGGAGTGAATGCTCCGTTAGGATCTGGCGGCTGACTGAGACAGTCTTGTTTTTCAGGGACTGGAGAGCTGCTAGTGCAAGAATGGAGGGCGAGCGGGGAGGGTCTGGGATTGTTAGAGCAGGTTGGCTGGGCTGACTGAGCCCGGGTGGTGATGGGAGCTCACACTCCACCCTGGCTGGGGAAGCTTGCTTTAATCAGCTCTCACATTGCTGTCATCAGATTTCTCTGGACCTCTAGAGCAAATGGGTTTTCCTGTCCTTCCTGTACTCCATGGCCGGCCTAGGACTCTGGTTTTGAGTTCATGTAGCACGCAGTTTCCAGGATTGACCGTCCTGCGGGGAAGTTTGGTGTATGGGATATTAGTCCCATTTTCTTTGGAATAAATTGTTGATTTTCAGGGTGGCTCACTTTGGATAGGAATCTCTCATGTATACTCGCTGTGACTGGAATCTTCATACTCACACACCCATGTGAGGCAGAAAAATCAAATAACGTGGACACTCTTAAGATTTGCATCGTCTGAACGATCACTGATCCTACACTGCAGAGTGAAACATACTAGAAAATATTACCACACCCTATTCCACCAGAGACTGCAATGTCAGAAATTTGGGCTCTTTTTCTGAAAGGAGAGATTAGTGTGAGGATTGTTAGTGGAAGGGGCTAGAATGTCTCTGGGAGGAGGGAGTCTTGCACTCCTGACAGGCTCTTTACACTGCTCTGCAAACACAAACTTTTCTTCCATCCTTCCAGTATCTAGAAACTCGCTGGGCTCCCCGCTGTTCCTTGTACAGTTAGTGTGGGGAAGGGGCAGAGTGTCCAAGTATTTATTGGTGCCAGAGAGATGGAAAGATGCAGTTGAAGAGCTGTGGCTCACTCAGGGTCCTGTGACGTGTGTACCGTGGGCTGCTCACCCTGCACTTAGTGCTGAGCTATATTTTGTCACACTTCAGTCAAATTGATTTGTGTGCTGGAGACTGACTTAGAGCATTGAAGTCCACTCCTAAGAAGCACGGCTTCAACCCACATTATCATAAATATCAATATTTTCTATGTCTTATCTAACTTTAATTAAAACAACGCAGACAATTCCTAGTTAATGTCACTATCTGCAGGAAATTAATAATATGCCATTTTACACCGTTTAAGGTGTGAAAAGTACATTTTCTTTTACCTCAAATCTTGCTTCTTCCAATGTAGAGGTGACACAGAAATGCTCACTTATATTATAGGTCAAACACATGTACATTTAATATATATACATGCACACATAATATTTAATATATTTATCAAAGAACCTATGATTAGAAAGAAAATGCCAGTGTGTTCTGTTCTGTATCCTGTCATTTCTGTATTTTGGAGGTGGAGGAGGAGATCAGTGGTTCATGGCAAATTCAAGACCAGGTGTGCTACATGAGGTTATCAAAAAAAAAATTAAAACAAAAAACAAAAACAAACAAAAAAGGGCACTTGTTTCTCTAGCAGAGGAACATTGTTCAGTCCTCAGCGCATACATGGTGGCTCACAATTGTCTGTAATTGCAGGGGAACCAGTACTTTCTTCTGGCCTCTAGGAACACCCACATACAAGCTGGGAAACACTTATGCACAAACAAACAAACAAATAAATAAATAATAACTTTAAAAATAAATGTCATGAGGCCTGGAGCATTGTGGCTGTGTCTATGTATGCATATTATGTACACTGTATAAATTTTGGTATAAAATATGACTTTGTGAGGTCTTATCGAGTAACCTTGCTGTTGTTTGTCCTTATCCCTCCCTTCTTCATCTGTATTGCCCGCCCTCTCTCTCTGGAGTTGAAGCTCCCTCCAGGTTTTCCCTTTCTCACTTCAGAGCACCTGTGTCCTGCTATTCCTCTCTCTCACACTTCTCAACGGTCTCATCATACTTTCTCAGCTTCTATTGTTACTTCATGTTGTTTACTCACATCTGAAGATTTGGAGCACAGATGAGAGAGAACATGTGGCGTTTGTCATTCTGGGTCAACATAGTCTTTTCTAAGTCCACAAATTTATTTGCAAAGATCATTTGTCCTTTTTATTTACAGCTGAATAATATCCCTTAATGTATATATATGATATTTTCATTATTCATTTCTTGGTTAAAGGAAATTTAGATTGTTTCTATTTCCTAGTTATTGGGAATAGAATATGGTTGAGCTAGTATTTGTGGGTAGGTGTAGAATCCTTTGAGTGTATGTTGAATCATATGGTAGATTTGTTTTTAGCTCTTTTGTGGATTCACTATACTGATGTCCAGAATTGCTATACCAGTTTGCAATCCTACCAACAGTGAATGAGGGTTCCTTTATCTCCATTACTTACCAGCATCTTTAGTCCGTAGTTTTGTTGATCTTAGCCTTTCTAACTGTGGTAAGATGAAATCTCAAAGTTGTTTTTGTTTTGATTTCCCTAACAGCAAAGGATGAACACTTTTTGAGGTATTTTTTTAGCTATTTTTGTTTCTTCTATTGAGAACTTTCTTTAAATCCCTATTTCATTTTTTTATGTCTCATTTGTTTCCTTGAATGTTTATTTTTTGAGTTCTTGGTATATTTTAGGTATTAATCCACTACATTAATGTGTAGATGGCAAAGGTTCTCTCCCATCCCGTGGTTTTTCTTCTTAGCTGTACCAAAGTTGTTAGTTTTGTGAAGTCCCATCTGTTAATTGTTGGCTTTAATTTTTGGGCAAATGGAGTCCTGTTTAAAAAGTCCTTTCTTCCACCCAGTTTGGAAGGGTATAGCTTATATTTTCTGCCACCAGTTTAGTGTTTCAGATTTCAGATTGAGCATTTTAATCCGTTTGGATCTAACTTTGTGCTGGGTGATACAGTTCTAGTTTCATTCGTCTGCATGTGGCCATCTAGTTTTCCACATATCATTTACGAAAGTATTATTGTTTCTCCAGTGTATGTTCTTTGCCTCTTTGTCAACTATAAGATTGCAACAACCCTAAATTTCCAGGATAAAAGCAACCTGGTCATGGTATATTATCTTATTGACATTTTCTTGAATTGGGCTTCCATGGCTCATGGGGTCTCCACTGCCACCGAGGTTAGACTCACATTTAGTGTTGAAATGTTCAAAATGCAATTTTTTGCTCTTTTTAAAATGTGTAAAATTCTTGCACTTGCATTTTATCTCTGAATTCTTCCTTTGTTCTCTGCTTGTCTGCTCAAAGCCATGTCCCTTGGTGCACTTGTCTTTGCTTCCCAGTGAAGAGATTGTGTACTCAGAAATGTCAGCCCGGAGCTGCTGCATCAGGGCCTGCATTCACTACATTTCACCTTCAGGGTAGTGTGGACCAAGTGTTGACAGGTTCCTTATTACCGTGTCTTTCCCCTTTTGGTATTTATATTATTAATTGTCCTGTTTAATTATTTTTTGCTATTCATTTATTTTATTTCAGGAACTTCTGTCATTCACAGATGTAGCCATTGATTTCTCTGCAGATGAGTGTGAATGCTTGGACTCTGCTCAGTGGAACTTGTATAAGGAAGTGATGCTGGAGAATTACAGTAACCTTGTGTTCCTGGGTGAGGATCACTTCCATTGTGAGCTCTTATTTCACAGTCAATATGTGACTGCCTCCCTGCCTAGACAGACTTTCCTATTGGAGCTTGTACTTTTGATTGTGATTCTTTCTCTTAATTTTTTGTTTGTTTGTTTTGCTTTTGTTATTTGTTTTCCAGACAAGGTTTCTTTGTGTAGCACTGGCTGTCCTGGAACATGATCTGTAGACCAGGCTGGCCTCAGCCTCAGAGATCTGCCTGCCTTCTGCCTCCCAAGTTCTGGAATTAAGGACATGTACCACCACTGCACTGTTCAGCTGACTGATTAGTTTTATATGCCTATTTTTAAAGGGAAACTTAGGGGAAATGTTGATATACTCAAGAATCACTTTTTCTTTTGTGTTTTTAACAGATTTGTTTTCAAAGTATTTGTCCTGTAGTGACAATGTCAGAAGCTCCGTGGCATGAGGCACGGAACACGTGTGTTAAAGAAAATATCATTAGCTTTAATACTTGTCTTTGTAATGAGGCTCAGGATCTACAGGTTGTAAATGACTCCTAAGCATCTTGTCGTTCAGAAAATATTTAGAGACAGAATTTTCCAGAATCATTTATCATCTTTTTTATCTTTTCTTCTAAGCACAGAAATGGGTTCAAATGTTAATTTCCAGGAGAAAACAGCCAAGCATCTTGTTCCCTTTTCCAAACAGGTCTTGCTCTTTCTAAGCCATACCTGGTCACATTTCTCGAGCAAAGTGCAGAGCCTTGGAGTGTGAAGAGAAAAGCAGCAGCTGCTATCCATTCAGGTGTGTAGGAATGAATGAGCAGAGGTCACAAATGACGAGTAAATTTGTAAAATGTTGATAATTTATGTTTTGGTGGAAATCCCTATTAAATGACTTTTCCTCCATGATATTTACCATGATAATCCTCTTCCTTTCTCTCCAGAGAGCTTTGTGTGTGTGTTTACAGTGACTTCCAAAGTCTTTTAGTTAGCTTGTTTTCTTGTATCTGTATATGCACTGTTCTTGTCTCTATTCATACTTGCACGTGTATGTTTGCCTATGTATGGGTGCATGTGTACATACAAGTTCACACGTATGTATGTGCTTATGGAGGACTGATATTGATGTTGCAAATCTTCCTTGATGGCTCTTCTCCCTTATTCATTGAGGCAGGGTCAGAGTCTCACTCAGGGTCTCAGAGCTAGTCTCCTCAGCTGCCGGGGCCAGCAGGGCAGAGTCGAACGGTTCTTAGTTGGGTGTGAGGATTAAAATTAATAAAATAAACACACAGCACACAGGAAACTTTTTAAAGGTCCAGACTCGACAGCCATGGCAAAAGGCAGGCAGCTGCAGCAAGCAGTGCCAGCAGCAAGTCTCAAGTCTCTGCCTGCCTCCTCTGTCTCCAGCCCTCTTTTCTGTCTCCAGCCTTCTTTTCTGTCTCCAGCCTTCTCCTGCCTTAACTGTCGGCCTGTCTTTTTATTGTAGAGTTTCTGAGCCAGAGTAGAAACATCTCAGAACAATAGGTTAATTTGCACAAGGAGCTAGAGGAAGAGGTGTGACCCTCACAAGCTATCCCACCTGCTGTCACAAACAAAAGGAGATGAACTTGCAAGTTCTCTGCCATTAGTAAAGGTTGGCTAAAAGCCATCTCTCCACCGAGATTTAAATATCAAAGCCGGCTGCTTGGAGTCATGGCTCCAGACACTCAGCCAGTATGCTCTAGTGATTTCCCTGTCTTCCAAGCCAGGAATGATAAGCTAGCTACCATGCTCACCCTGCATTTACAAAGGTTCTGGCTATCCAAACTCCAGTCCTCATTCTTGTATGGCAGGCATGTTAACTGCTGAGCTATCTCCCTGGTCCCAGTCCTTTTATTTTTCCTGGGAGTGTCTAGATTATAACAGACTTGTCTTTACTTTCTATGAATTAGAAAACATGTACACATTTCTAACAGCCTTAGGGACACAGTACCCCACAGATGAGCACCTCTAATTCCATTTATATGCTCAATAGCTGACCCAGTTTCATCAGAGCTCTCACTGTGTGCACATGACACTGCTCCTTTTGAGGTCAGATGGCAAAATTCAAGAGCTGATTTTCTCCTTCCACCATGTAGGTCGAGGGATGCAGAAGAGATGGTCAGGCTTAGGGTCAGTGCTCCTTACCTTCTGAGGCATCTTGCTGGCCCTATAATGTATTCTTATGAGGACTGGGTTTATTTTTTATTTTCTTGTCACACACAAGTAATTAAAAATTCTATGCTTTTATAAGTGTGTAGTCATAGCTGAAAACTACACATCTTCATAGCGAGACTTTCTCAGACCTGCCAGCAGTTTAAATAATGATACAGAGACTATTATATAATTTAAAGCTTAGGCCTTTAGCTGGGATGATTCCCAGTTACCATCTACACTTTACTCGACTGCTCTATATGTGACCTGTCACTTGGCTAGCTCTTTTACATCTCTCTCCTGTGGCCCCTTCCCTTGTCTGCTTCAGAATCTCCCAGGATTGCTTTCTTCTCCCATTAGTCCTTTCTCTCCCAAAAGGTTTACCTTCTATTTCCTGCACTAGCTACTGGCCATCAGCTCTTTATTACAACCAATCAGTGAGAAGCCACCTGAATTTCAAGTATTTGAGCATGCATGGAAGAACAAATATTTACAAACTTAAAGCCAGTGATGGGCTATAGAAATGACAATACCAAAATGCTGCCAGCACTTAGCTCTCTGCTGGTACAGAATTAACAACTGAAAATACAGAGATATTCCTTCAGACACTGTGAAAAAAAAGTTGCCCCAACACATATTGATAAGTTTTGTTTAGTAGATCTTCAATAGTCTTTCAAAATTTTATGGGTCCCAAATTCATGTCTCTTTTTTCTTATTTTGCAACCTTGTTTTCTATGTTTGATGTTTTTTTAAGTCTAGACAGGATTTCTGTGTGTAGACTTGACTGTCCTGGACTCACTTTGTAGGCCAGGTTGGCCTTGAACTCACAAAGATCCGCCTGAGTACTGGGATTACAGGTGTATACCACCACACTCAGCTGACTCTTTTATATTTATGATAACATGCTTAGTTGTACCCAATATATTTTTCTAGGTGACACTATTAATTACTGTATTCTTTAAGGACAATGTAAGACAGTAAGATACCTATGCCATAAATCTATTGGTAGTGATATTATTTGCCTATAAAAATATTATTCCTAAATTAAAGCCATGTGTATTTTCTTTTTCATTGGTTACTCAATAGTTGTAACCTTCTAAATGTGTGTTCCTGGAAATTGTGTAACTTCTATTTACTAACAGAGATGTTCCCTTTAGAACTTATTCCACTTCTAGGTAAACTAGAAAGTTGTATTATTTGATTTTTTAAGGTATTATTGTTGGTAAAACATAACACTGTCTTAAAAGGTTTCATGTATACTCTTTAAAAGTGTTATGTAGCATGTCTTTACAAAATTTTATAGCTTTGAAAACTGAAACTTTATACTCAAAAAAAA